TAACTGAGAGAATGCACTCATTTCTGTCACATTTAGATTGATTCAAGAGATCTGATATCGGAATCGTGTGAATAATATTCACCGAAAAACTGTCACTTTTGGTCTGACCCTCGACTGTATGAATGGGGTTTACTTGTGACCACTTATATACTTTTATTGAGTAATTAAATGACAACTGTCCTAAATAGTCGTCCCTTACAAATGATACCTAAATGACAAATATATTAATGTAATTTGTGATTTATTTAATTTGATTCAATACCTTTAAACTCTTATCCCTGTCCTCATAGGGAGACACCAAATGATTATCCATAAAGTGAATGGCATACGAGTGCAAGACTTTCCATTTGCCGTTGTGTTCAATGGATGCCCAACTCGGTGCCGGCCATATGTCATTCAATTGCCAATACAGGGCTCCCATTGTAGACCCATTTCCAGTCTTGGGATCAATTTCGCGATTTCTCCTAAAAAACTCGGTCCATGTCTTCATAGCCATGGCGTGTATTATTTGCGAGGAATACACGAAATCATTTAATCTATCGATTCCTCCCTTCGATGGAAGTCTTAAATAGTAAGCTGTCGTATAAATTAAATTACATTAAAATTTAAAATAACTTAAATATACATTTAATAAATACAAATCTGATTATTAATAATATCATCCATATATTGTCCCTTGTGCTGGTGGTGCTTAACAGCTGGTGTCAATGGGAAAGTCAGGTCCGACTCCATGAATGCCTCTAAAAGTGTTTGAATGGATGGATACGATTGAATGCCATATTCCGATGCAAACTTAGGACTGGGAAGTGTAGTCCAGTCCCACAGATGAGAGGAATCGTTATAGTAGTGAATATCTCCATATCGATTATCATCCGGGTCTTTGGCTGTATAGTTCTCTTTAATGCTTTCCAATCCATTTGAAGGACTTGAAGTCACAAATGGACGGGTAGTATCTTCATCCGATACTACCTTTCCTATTATGTCGACATATAGTTTCCGATAATCAGTGTAATATTCAGGCCTGTCGTGCCACCACAGGGCTATGAATACTTCATTCTCATTATTACCTTTATTAAAATACATTTATTATCACAAATAAGTTAAATTATCTTTTCGAGGTTATAAGCTAATTATTGAATACCGGCCCAAATGGCAATGGATGGGTGGTGTTGAAGGCGTCTCATTTGTTGAATCGCTTCAGTCTTCACAGAATCCAAGAATTCTGGGTTAACGGGGTATAGATTACAGGCAAACATGAAGTCCTGCCAAATCATAATCCCGTACTCGTCGGCCAACTGGTAGAACAGGTCGGACTCATACACCCCTCCCCCCCACACTCTCATCATATTCATGTTCGCCTCTTTGGCTGACAGAAGCAGATATCTTAAGTACTCGGGAGTGATGTCTTCCATCAAAACATTGGTTGGAANAGCAGATGTCTTAAGTACTCGGGAGTGATGTCTTCCATCAAAACATTGGTTGGAATCCAATTCGATCCCTTCGCGAAGAAGGGCTTCGAGTTCACCTCAAAGTAAAAGGTAAGGCCTTCCGGTTTGACTGGATTTTGGATCAGTTTTATGGTTCGGAAACCAATTTTCTTGGTTTGAGTCGAAACCTCCTTACTGTCGGCAAACGATAGCTCGACATTCAAGTCATACAACTTCTGTGTATTATCTGCTACACCATTAGGATACCAGGGTGTGATATCAATGTCTTTAACGAGTGAATAAGATCCAAACATTGTCTGTCCTTGTTTATCGGTTTTAAATTTAATCGTGTTTGTACTCTGACTAATATTATCTAATTTTATTTCAAATATCCCCACAATCTCTTGATTGGGAGCCGACTCTAAGAAGCCGTTGACGTTTAGCTGCCATTGGGAGGGGTTTTCTGGGCTAAGAGTTGTCTCGACAGTTATGTCTCTAATCACGAGTTTATCGAAGGCTTCGATTCCAATGGGTTTCCAAATGCCTTGCGTTGGAAATGATGGGCCCTTAAGGGCATAGAAATTAAATAATTAATTTCAAGAATCTTTAGATCTATTGATTTAATGCAAACCCAATCCCAACTGAAAGATGCGGGCATTTTGCGGATGAAATTAGAGTGACATTCCCCGTGGGATTCCTCTCCCGGACAATCTGGCAATCAATGCAAATAATGCTAAATTGAAAAGGTATTTATTCTGTAGGATCTCATACCAGGTATCACTTTATAATGATAGGTCTCATTGTATATCTCTGACTGTTGTTTGGCATAAATAGGTGCCGATTGAAAGGCCAGTCGTATAGTGTTTTGTCCCGATTTTAACACATTTTTCACGTCAAACACATATCTTATGTATTGATTGTAGGTTTTTCCGATCAATTGGTCATTGATGTATACACTGCTAACAGTGTCGATGCCATTGGCCAACAAATTCACATTTTTCTTGTTTAAGATGTTTGACTCAACTAACGGTAATATAACAGGAATATGTTTGTTATAAATGAGTGTTCATACAATTAATAAAGTTTATTTCATACCATTGAATGTTCGCTCATAAGTCCAGTTGTCATATGAAACCCATCTATAGTTGACATCATTTTTCTCGTACAATAAATCCTCTTTTAACACATTCTCTCTCCTGAGGTCTGAATATATACTTCCCGGGACTTTGGCCTTCACTCTAATAGCTATTTATTTAGAAATTATTAACATATTGTTCAATAAATTTTGGTTCAAATAATTACATTTATTAAAACTAGTTGCAGTCCATTCATTCCCATCTAATGACAAATAGTCTGCAAAGCTAACAGCTATAAAACATATCAATAATAAAGCAAATATTATAATTTTTGTAAACATTTTTTTTAAGAAAGACAACTTGTATTTATTTTTAAAATAAGCAATAAATGCTTAATAAATTTTTAAAACATTAAAGCAATACAATAAATGTTTTTATACCTAATAATTTTGCACCCTAGTTCAATTTTGTAATGTATTAGATATTGTAATCAGTGATTACTAGTCACAATTGGCCTACTTGAATTTGTATTGTAGTATTGTACGGTATTAGTACAACTTGTACTTGAGCATTCACTCTAAATATTTTATTCTCATTGTATTGATTAAGCAGATTTTGTACATTTCTGTCATCTATTTTATAATTATTTTCTCACTATTTTCAGCAATTAATTATTAATAATATGTGTTTATAATTATAATGATTTTATTTATAATTGTATTCACTAGTGAATCACTACAATCAAAATAATAATCCATTAATGTTATAATAAAGTCTAAACAAATATATTCGGATGTTATTGTTTGCTTAAACTTGTTTAATATTATTTTTAAGAGTCAACCTGGATTATTCAGTGCACTTGTTACTGAAATCAGTAGAGACCGACCATTATCTCAAACAAACAATTAGATAATGCAGTACTAAGTGATTATTAAAATACTGTATTAGATTAAACGCACATCAGATAAACAAGATCTATGAATCACACAACTTATTGGTTACTAAAAATCAAATGGCTATCTTTGAATAATGAATTTTAAGTTTTAAATACAATTATCATGCAACAAATGTTGAATTTTTAATAGTATTGATAATTCAATAAATTATAATGATTTTTATTTTAAAATCATGTATTTATTGTACCGGTACAAATTAATGCTATTGTGTTAAATCATATTTCATTAAATAATGCTAGTTTCAATTTAAGCAACATCTGTGAGTGTCTTAATGGTTAGATTATCTTTGATGTCCTTTTCGGTGATTTTGGATTCCGTTTGCATTTGAATGGTCTTCTTTCCGTCAAATATAAAGAATCCGTTTTCCATGAATTGAGCCCTAATTCCAGAGTTTGCTTTGAAGTCCAACACTACAAACGGGGCCACAGTTTCCGATGAGAGACTCAACTCAAACACTGTCTTATCGTTCACTTCAGTCGACGTCTTCTTCACATCAATTAGTTTTATGTTTGGTTTCACGAGTTTTGAGTTTTTCGGTTCAGTTAATAACATAAAGTTATTTGCCTTCAAAATAAAAACAATATTAAAATCAGTTTTAAAACTGAATTATTGTGTTATATTTTACATCAATTTTATGCTCAAAGTTATTGACATTAACTGAGAGAATGCACTCATTTCTGTCACATTTCGATTGATTCAAGAGATCTGATATCGGAATCGTGTGAATAATATTCGCCGAAAAACTGTCACTTTTGGTCTGACCTTCGACTGTATGAATGGGTTTTACTTGTGACCACTTATACACTTTGATTGAATAATTGAATGACAACTGTCCTAAATAGTCGTCCCTTACAAACGATACCTTTAACACAAATAATATAGTAATTACTTTTGCAATCTATTGGTATATAATTTGTTAAATTACTTTTAAACTCTTATCCCTGTCCTCATAGGGAGACACCAAATGGTTATCCAAATAGTGAATGGCATACGAGTGCAAGACTTTCCATTTGCCGTTGTGTTCAATGGATGCCCAACTGGGCGCCGGCCATATGTCATTCAATTGCCAATACAGGGCTCCCATTGTATA